TTACTGGTTGCCCAACAACTACTTTGTATTTGAGGAGAAAAAGTGAAATGTTGCACATTGTTTATTCTACTTTGTATTTGATTTGTGCCTTAAGGCAGTAAAATCGGTGAGCTTGGCTTTGACTCATGATTAGATTTTAAGTATGACGGTAATAATTAACTGTATCTGGACAACAGTGGCAAGAGAGGGCCGAGAGATGACACGGAGGTTTTAAGTATGAGTGATTGGAATATGGTTACACTATTGACTAAAAGAGGAAACCCAGGAGGAGAAAAAGTTTGGACTGAACAATGTAATGATGCTTTACACTGCAAGTAGCAAAATACCCAACCCAAAGCACCCTAAAACCCCTCATTTTTCTCACAGAAGTAGTCAGGGGCAGACAGTTTCCGATTTGGTTCAACTCAAAGATGTTGGGGCCCAGTTTGCTTCTCTGAGAGTCTTTTGACCTTCCTTTACTGTTGCCTGATGGCTGCCTCAGCTCCAGATACCCCTTAATCATCATTCATTTCTTCTATTAACAGAGAAAGGAAAGTATCTTTCTTGATGTCTCCCATTCCAGGAGCTCCACACCAGATTTCTCCAAAGTCCCGCCAGTCAGGATTGGGTCACCTTTCCACATGCTCACTTCAGAGGAGGCTGGGAGAGCTGCTCTTTTCCTTTTCAGGCATTGTCATGGGCAGCCAGCTCAGCTAGCAGGGTGAAGGGCATTAGGTAGGCAACCAATGATGTCTGCCTTGGTGATGAATTCCATTTTCTCTCCCTACACAGTTGATAAAGGCTCACTTAGCAGCCTTATGGAGCTTGAATTAAATGAGCCAACTCATAACTGTAATAAGTTAGTATTTTCTAGAAGCCAGTTAGTTTCTGATCGGGCTTTCTCCCTTTTTTACTTTGTGATTGAACACTAACCCCACAGCTTCTTAATGAAAGATTAGAGTATTTTACTTATACTTTTAATAATTGATTGAAAGCTCTTTGACTTCCATGAATACATGTACCTATCCCATTATGCATCTTGCAGGACTGCCTTTCTGGTATCATTACGTATTATATATCTTCTTAAGTGCCTTATGTATGTACATAGGGGTTTATAAGAGGAAGAAAATGCTGCAGACCTTGTGAACCATGTTTGTTTTAAAGTCTGGAGGCTTGGAGGACTCTGTCAGTTAGTTGAAGTTGAACAAGGACAACCAGTTCTAGCTGTTCCCCTGAATGACAGAGAATGGCTCAGCTGAGCCGCGCCTGTGGCACAAGTAGAGTGACCCTAAGAAAGCATCTTCAACTGGGGAGACAGTGTCCTGGCTCAGAAAGGGCCTTGGTTTGGGTACCTGGGTGGGGCAGTGCTGAACTTCCTAAACCGGATAAAGTTGGAATCTTTCCTTCTCTGGATCTGTAATTGTGTCTAATTGGTAATTGTCCAATCGTGATATTTTTAACCCCATAAAATTCACACGTAATAAATTTGAGCTGAGGGTGTCAGTGTTGGTACCGTTGCTGGTGGAAGGTAAGGGAGAGGTTGAGAAGACCCGAGGAAAGAAGCTCCAAGTCTCATCTTGAATCCGTTGCAGTCCATTCACTCATCTGACTTTCCTTGAAAGCCTGCCACGCCCTCACCGCCGGGGGTGGAGACCACCGAAGACCAGACCTGCCTTTGAGCATGGTAGCGACATAAGAGGGAGTCAGCAACCCTGGCTTCTCATCACAGTAGGAAAGCAAATGTGGCCAATCAGTATTGTCTGCTAGGCAGGTTGGTTGGGCTAGCTCTCCTTACCATTTTAAAGCGCTCGGTCTCCATATTCGAACTAGTGTAGTGGAATCTCACTATGTTACAGTAGTTGTGTTGGTACTGAACTCCAGTGAGTGCCAAGAGAAGGCCTTACCTACTCTCCTTTCTGATATTTCAGAAACAGATTTCAAAGCAACTTGGTGCCTTGGGGAGATGTTTATTTCCAAAATAACCTGAAATGATCGACTCAAGTCAGTGAATCTGTAATTTACTAGAAGCTGTATTTCCAAGAGCCATATTTTAAATATTAAAATTATTGCTGAAAAATTGATACTTCTAACCCCAAAGAAGCTTAATGCCTCATACACTTGGCAGATGGAAAGCAAAAATTGAGGTCAAGCTTAAACTCTCCTCTTACCTTCCTCCAAATCCCCCAAATCTGGCCCCACTGTAGACTTTAATGCACAAACAAGATCATGTGAGCCCTAATTCATGGCATCAAAGGGAAGTGGGCGCCTCTCCATTTATTTCTGAGGAGCCTGGAGGTGGCCTGGGTTTCAACTGCCCCCTTTTGCTCCAAACCCCAGTCCTGGCTTAAATCCCAGTCTTCTGGGGCCAGCTCATCTCCATGCTTCTCCCCCCTGTGGGTGCAGACTGTTGGCCTCTTTGCAGGAGGGCCTCCCCTCCCAGCTTAGCACTCACAGAGGGAGACCACTGCCGGACTGGAAGTGACTTTGGTGGGTCACACCAATTCTGAAGTTCCTCAGCCATCCTGCCACAGGGGAGTTCATCACCTGCTGCTCAGAGCCCCCTCCATCTTCTGGGACTTGTTTCTCCCTGTAGGATCTCTGTTCCCACTTCTCCATCTTCCCCAAATCCAGAGGTTTCTAAAATGTAGCGCATAGTTAAGATGTTCCTATTCAAAAAGTCTCAGAAAATGTGTTTTCTTATCCTTCAAAGGGTTCACCTTTCCTAACTCTGCCGATCCACGTTTAAACCACGTTTCAAAAACTGGCGGAAGTTTGAAATTGTAATTTGTCTTTAAATGGGCTCAACATTCAAGGTCACCTGGATCCGGCGTTCAAGGCCTCGGGGTCCCCACGCTTTCTTCCCTGTTGAGGGCGGCCGGGCAGGGGCTGGCCAAGGTCTTTGTGCTCCCTTGGCTCTGGGCGGTTCCCAGGTATGGCACTGGGCTCGCTCTCCCTATAAATAGTCTTATTCATGCTTATGATAGTCTGGGCCACAAGAGTAGTTTTAGAATAAAACACTCTACAAGAATTGGGCAACTTAGGGCCTGTAAAATGCATATTTCTGGGGCTTCCCAGAGTGGCATGGAAGCTGCACTAGGTCGTGGGGTGAGCACAGCAGACCTTCCTGGGGCATTGATTTCCCAGCAAACTTGTTTAAATATTGAAAATGTTTAAATGTTAAAACTACAGGCATGTTAAGGAGTAGAATACAAAATTTAGACTAATTTCAAGGTAAGATGTTTCAAGCTTCACTTCTAGATTGCTCTCCCAGACATGTCTAGGGGCTCACATAACTCTCTTCCAGTTAAGGCAACCTTGGTGCAAGTTTGAGAAACACAGTACTTAAGAGGGTACCATCATACAAAAATGTCTAACTTTTTTAAAGGTGTTCTGTTCTGACACTTGTTAACTCCTTCTTTTGCAGATAATCGGCAAACTACAGACATTCTTATTTTGTGTAGTGTGTGTGCCAAGAAAGTTGTGTTTGAGTTGGTGCACTTGTAAATGGAAAACTCTTAAGTGCAACAGATACTTTTTAAGGAACTGTAAAATAAGTTATTGTACAAATAATCACCCCCCTAGTTACCAGTTTTGTAAGTTTGAGTTTAATAAAATTATTTTTAAGTGGGTTTTTTTACTTAACTATGAAGATAAACAAGCATCCACTTACCTTAAACTGGAAATAATTCTTTATTAATTCGACTTTCAAAAAATGTCACTTATATCAGTACCACTGAATTTATGTGACTCAGACCAATGAAAATTTCAGATTATATTTGTTACTGGACTTGAGTAGTCTAAGGAGTATTCTTTTTAGCTTCCTAATCATATTAAATGTATAAATAATTATCATTTCTAATACTTGCATTATCTTAGTGAAGCATGTACAATAAAGCATCATTTCAACCATGAAGTTCCTGAGGGCAGATGATTGAAGAACCATGAGATTAACCAGGCTAACTTCAAAGCTGATTTGGAATGTTGTACTATTTATTACTCTAAGCAATTATATTAGTCAAATATAAATGTTCAGAGTACATTTTCATTAGGTGCTGTATGTATGTCCAGCTACTTCCAAATGCTGTCTTAGTCTTTCTTGGTCTTCATACAGTGTGAATGTTCAATAAATGTTTAATAGATAGGCTTATTAAAGTTTTATTTATTATACGTAATGTAAAAGAATGGAAATGAAGATAGGTTAAAGTTGAACGGACAGGGTAATTGAAATAATTGGGAGTATAATTTAAATAAACTTCTTTGTTAATTTGGAAATTTTAAAGTATGTGACCACAATGTAAAATGGGTTGAAATATATCACTATGGAGGAAATAAGAACATCATCATATTGGTTTCTGGATTCTTTGAAAAAGACTATTAGCTTTAGTCTAGTCTAAAAATAGAGGCGATAAAACTAACTTAGCTACCTTATTTATTAACTCAATAAATATCTGGGTTAAGCAAGTGCTTATACAAGTTTTCAATAAGATCTAGAACAGAGTATAGGTATGATTATCATTGACTAAAATAGTGCATTATTATATGGAAGTTTTTATAGAATTTTACTTTTTTTCAATGATTCGTTTACTCTCATAATCTCCATCATGTAGGAAAAATACTATTACAAAATGTTCCTGACTTATCCGTTTCAATGTGAAATAAATTAAGAAATTTTAAATCATATTAGTCTGAAAATTCTGTCACTGAGTTAAGGTAACATGGAGAAAGTATGTTTTTCTAGGACTATGATTAAATCAGGTCTTGGAAACTAGTGAGTTAACTTTGATTTGGCTTAAGTAAAATATTGTTCATATTAAGGATGAATATTTGATAAACCCAGTATTATGACTGCTGGCTCCTCTGTAATTCAGGGCACAGCAGGGACAGGCTCTGACCATTAGGAAAATGCTGGCTTGTGTTGGGGTTTTGCTGGTAGAGTGATGTCTCTTAACTACAAACAGAATTGTGGTAAGTTGTTGAAATGAAATTCTAACAAATTTTTATATTTTTTATTTCATTATTAGGCTATCAGCTGCAAAGGTCAACACAGCATATCGTACACTCTGTCAAGGAATCAGACTGTGGTGGTCGAGTACACACATGATAAAGATACGGATATGTTTCAGGTAACATCTTTCTTTTTTCCATGGAAACTTTTAGCACATTTTTCCTTCGATTCTCTATTTTGATATGTAGTCAGAACTTCTAGCACAGTAGTGTTTGGTGATGTCCAAGGGGAAAAAGGTGAGGATAATGTTTAAATTGTTCCTATTTGGTTTTCAAAAGACTAAGAAAACACTTAATTCTAAAAATGCAGAAAGAAATTATAAAGACTACATTCTCAGATCTCAGTGCAATAAAAAAGAGACTCTAAAAACAAGAACAAACATTTTTAGAGCCAGCTACTTTTAAAAGTTAACATGTTCAAAATACTTCCTGAATAACACTTGAACCAAAGAGGACATCAAAACTACAATTACAGGCCTTTTAAAAAATAACTGTGGAAACATTTAATAGCATAACTCATGAGATGTGACTGATGTTGTATTCGGAAGAAAATGTAAAAACCTTTAAGTGCTTTTATTATTTGGAAGGAAGGAAGAAACTCAAGGAACTAAACATTGATCAGAAAAAGTTCCTTTTAAAAAATGACAGTAAGAAAGTAGAGGACAGTTTGAGAAGGATAGGTGTTCACTCTTCTCTAAACGTTTGATAGATTTCCCCTGTGAAGCCATCTGGTCCTGGACTTTTGTTTGTTGGGAGTTTTTTAATCAGTTTCAATTTCAGTACTTGTGATTAGTCTGTTCATACTTTCTGTTTCTTCCTGGATCAGTCTTCGAAGGTTGTACCTTTCTAAGAATTTGTCCATTTCTTCCAGGTTGTCCATTTTATTGGCATAGAGTTGCTTGTAGTAGTCTTTTATGATCCTCTATATTTCTGTGGTGTCCGTTTTAACTTCTTCTTCTTCATTTCTAATTTTACTGATTTGAGCCCTCTCCCTTTTTTTCTTGATGAGTCTGGCTAAAGCTTATCAATTTTGTTTATCTTCTCAAAGAACCACCTTTTAGTTTCATTGATCTTTGCTATTGTTTTCTTTGTTTCTATTTCATTTATTTCTGCTCTGATCTTTATGATTTCTTTCCTTCTACTAACTTTAGGTTTTGTTTGTTCTCTAGTTGCTTTAGGTGTAAGGTCAGGTTGTTTATTTGAGATTTTTCTTGTTTCCTGAGGTAAGATAGTATTGCTGTAAACTTCCCTCTTAGAACTGCTTTTGCTGCATCCCATAGGTTTTAGATTGTTGTGTTTTCATTGTCATTTGTCTTTAGGTATTTTTTTTGATTTCCTCTTTGATTTCTTCATTTATCCATTGGCTGTTTAGTAACATGTTGTTTAGCCTCCATGTGTTAGTGTTTTTTACAGTTTTTTTCCTGTAATTGATTTCTAATCTCATAGTGTTGTGATTAGAAAAGATGCCTGATGTGATTTCAATTTTCTTAAATTTACTGAGGCTTGATTTGTGACCCAAGACGTGATCTATCCTGGAGAATGTCCATATGCACTTGAGAAGAAAGTGTATTCTGCTGCTTTCAGATGGAATGTCCTATAGAAATAAACTGTACTCCAATAAAAATTTTAAAAAAAGAAAGGACAGGCTCAAGAATAGTTTTAGTGGTATATAATTGAAAGTCCAGAAACACATCAAAAGAAAGCAGAAGGAAGGAAATAATACAGGAAAAAATTATCAATTAATTTAAAAAGAAGGGAATTAATAATATATCCAAGATTTGGTACTTTTTTTTTAATTGAAGTATAGTTGATTTACAATGTTGTGTTAGGTTCAGGTATACAGCAAAGTGATTCAGTTATACATGTATATACACACAGAAATATATTCTTTTTTCAGATTCTTTTCCATTATAAGTTATTACAAGGTATTGAGTATAGTTCCCTGTGCTATACAGTAGGTCTTTGTTGGTTATCTGTTTTATATATAGTAGTGTATATATGTTAATTCCAAACTCCTATTTTATCCCTCCCCCTGCTCTCCCCTTTGGTAACAAGTTTGTTTTCTATGTCTGTGAGTCTGTTCAAGATTTGGTACTTTAAAACAACAGGAAATTAAAATTAAGGCTAATAAAGGGAAAAAGCAAACACAGATTCAACCAGGAGGCTTTGCATTTCTATATGGAGAGTTAAATTATTAAATGATGTTGAAACAAATGTCAAAAAAGTATCGTAGATACATCAAAAAGGGGAAATAGGGAACTCCCTGGCGATCCAGTGGTTAGGACTTGGCGCTTTCACTGCTGGGGCCCAGGTTCAATCCCTGGTCGGGGAAATAAGATCCCGCCAGCCATGTGGTGGGGGCAGAACAAGGGGGGGGGGGGGGGGGCAATAAATAGTTCTGAAAAATAAGAAAACCTGCTCAGCCTCGCTTATAAAAACAGAAATGTGAATTCAGATCACACAGAGGTACCATTTTTCACTTACCAGATTGGCAGAAATCCAAAAGGTTTTGTCAGAGGTGTGGGGAAGCAGATGCTCTCCTACATCCTATAAATTAGTCTGACCTCTATGGGGCAGTGACTTGGAAATACCTATGAAAAATACACAGTGCTTGCACTCTGACTCAGCTTTTCTTTCTAAAGCTCTCCTCTTTCTAGAGATTTACCCCCGAGATACCCCTGCATACATCCAAAATGACATTTTTACCAACTTATTGCTTGCAGCGTGGTTTCATGGTATAAGATTGCAAACAACCTAAATGTCTCTTAATAGAGGACCAGTTAAGTAAACTCAGGTACAGCCATGCAGTGGAGGCCTCCAAGGCTGTACAGCAGAACTAGGAAAAGCTCACACAGCCTCATACAGTCACAAAAAGAGCTCCAAACATATTTAATGAATTAAAATTAATGATTAAATATATTGAGGCTTTGATAGTATTATATTCAACTAAGGTTACTTAATGTTAATAAATTAATGTTATTAAACATATGAAAGAGCATATTAATTATTAGATAGCAAATTAGTACAGTTAAATGATTTAGATATGCTTATATGCTTGAAAAGTCTCCAAAAGGATAAACAAGACGTTACTAATAGAGCAGTGGTTTTTGTGGGGAAGAGAACTGGGCAGGGTGGTATCCAGGGAGGTATTCCATGCTTTTTTATCTTTGAACCTTGTGAATGTGTTAGCTATTTAAAAAACCTGAACAATCCTATATAGATACATAGATGGATAGATACATAGATGGGTAAGGTGAGTCGCAGTCAGAGATACAGGCATAGTTACTTAAGTGCCAGTACATCAAAAGTAACATGTGTGGTATTTAGACACATTATTAACAGTGGTTTTACTCTTCATGCCATTCCATTTTATAATACTCTAAATGTTCTTTTCCTTCTCATTCTCCCAAAGAAAAAGCTCTCCCTAGATAAACATCTGCATATGCTTCCTTGTTGATATTTTTATGGAACTCTGTAATAATTCCTTTCTTTAATACTTTCCAAAGTTATACATCTTGAATATATAAGATTTTTTACTAATGTGTTACACAGGTAGAAGATTCTCAGTACTAAAAACATAAATCCAGAAAATTTTACAGTTGTTGGTAGGACATTTTTTTACCACTTAAAATCAACAAGTTACTGTGGTTGCACGTTTGTTTCATTGCTATTCTTCAGTGACATGTTGTGACAGAAATGGTGTGTTCTTCACTATTGTGCAGTCACATTCTACTCAAATTGTTCGCTCTCTTCCTTCTCACCTAATGCAGAATGAATTAAAGATTTAGCTGGATCTTTTCAGCTTCCTGTTAGTTCTTTTTTCTTCCCACTTATTGTGGTAAGAACACTTAACATGAGATCTATCCTCTTGACAAATTTTTAAGTGCATGATACAGTATTTAACTATTTTAACTGTTGTACAACACATCTCTAGAACTTACCCGAACATCTTGTGTAACTGAAACTTTATGCCTATTGAACAACATCTCCCATTTCCCTGTCCCCGCAGCCCCTGGCAACCACCATTCTACACTCTGTTTCTGTGAGTCTGACTATTTTAGACACCTCATGTAGTTGGATTCGGCCTTCTGTGATTGGCTTATTTCACCTAGCATAATGTCCTCTAAATTCATCCATATTATCGCATGTGACAGGATTTCCTTCTTTTTAAGGCTGAAGAGTATTCCATTGTACGTATATGCCGCTTTCTCTTTCTCCACTCACCCATTAATAGACACCTCGGTTGCTTCCATATCTTGGCTATTGTGAATAATGCTGCAATGAACATGGGCAGCAGATACTGCTTCGAGATCTTGATTTCAGTTCTTTTGGATAAATACCCTGAAGTAGGTTTGCTGGGTCACATGGTAGTTTTATTTTTAATTATTTTTGTTGAGGAAGCTCCATTACTGATTTGAACTTCTAAATGCTTTATGCATACCTCCCATTTCATCACACAGAATATTAAAAGACTCAAGATTTAATAAAATTAATAATTTTTTACTGCTTCATCAAAGCATGCATATCCCTCCCCCACCCTTACCCCCTATGAAATCAGCATTTTCTTTAACTGCAAATGCAGGGCGGTGAGGAACACGGTGACCATCAGTATAGTTCGGTGCCGCTGCTTTGATTCCCGCGAAGGCACATCATTGTTTTATCACCATCAGAGCAAATGTCAGCATCTTCATATTTATTATGAAACCATCATATTATGGTTCATATTATGAAACCATGGCTTCATGGACCTGGCCCCTTAAAAAGGCCTCAAGGACCCTCAGAGGTTCATGGACCACACTGAGAAATATACCAGTTTTTACTATACTGACCTCTTAATTTTATAACTGAGAAATCTGTGTCTTTGAAAGAAAAGGTAACTTAACCTAAGGGCAAAGATGGCATTAGTGCAGAACTAAAGGTTTAGGTCTCCTGAGTTCTCCATTCTGTACATAGTACCCACTCAGTAACTTTAAATAAGGCACGATCGTTCAAAAGGAATTTATAGACGTATGAAGAAAACATAACCCATTTGTTATTTTTACTAAAATAATCTGATTCCTTTTGCAGACTAACTGCACATATTGGAGGATTAATGTCAGATCACTCTAAGCAGAGTAGA